GCATAAACATCAGCAGCTCACCATAAGATTGGCGAACACCAGGCACCGGATATTGTAGGAAATCAACAAGCTTGAAAGCAATATCAGCCCCTAGGGACTCATATTTGCTAGGGTAGTTTTGTGCGATCATATAGTATGCTTGGTGCCAAAGGGGCAGTGGGTTGTCGACTTGAGTATGTAAGGCGTTAGAGTGGTTTTTCGATTTATTAAAATCTCTTAAAGATTTATTAATATGAAGTAAACTATCTGCAACTTCAGAAGAGACAGTTTTTCGAGGCCTTTTCGATGGTGTGTAGCTTGCAATAGATTGTTTATATCGCTCTGTTTCTAACTATAAATCAGTTAATAATAAAATACATCTCAAAAATATGAATTCCTTACCTTGTGTGTCCCAGAGCTATGTTTATTCCACCTTTTAGTGCTCTTATCTGAGAAAGGTATAGAGCGTATTGAATCAGCAAGATTATCCTCCTCATCCGAAGAAACGATTGTTTGTTGCATTAAAGCTGTAGGGTGATATGCAAATTTACCACTAGCTGTGCGAGTTTCGAATAGAAATTGAAGAATCGACCAGCTCTCTGTATAGTGACTTCGATGCCAACGATATTTTCGATTATTAGCTTCGCTTGCTTGTAGAAGCGTTTTCCATAGATGATCAGGTGCATAAGGCTGCATAGTGTCGTTCTTTTCATTGAATCTAGTGCCCCAACCAGATAGGTTAAGAAGATACCGACACTCTACATAACGTCCCTTGATCTAAATCAAATCAATTAGATCAAATAAACAATAAAAAAAGAGGATGTTCATATCGAATTGATTTTCTTTTTAATTTGATCACCAGTTAGATTCTCATTACTATTAGTGCGTGTCTTGTGCTCTAAAGCAATAGCTTGTGCAAATTGACTATAATGAAGTGTTCTCCATCCAGTGAATTGACCTGGTCGTTGACTAGTCTTCTGTAGGATGACGTTGCCATTAAGTGTAAAAGAAGCTTTTCGTAGGGTTTCCATTTGACTGATTCGTAGATTTCTTCGAAATATCTTTGGTCTCAGTTGCCGGGATCCACTGATTTATCCTCCCTTCAATGGTGTCGGTAAGGGGTTCTTTTCACTTTTTGAACCACGACAGGTGTTATGTTTGGGTCTTGCTTGTGTTGTCGCTATTATCGACACTCCCTCTCGTCGTCCATCGTTTCTCATCGCTGTCTGTATCGATGTTTGTTGAGAGCCTCTCATCGGTTCGGAATCCTGCTATATATTATACATTAATATAATTAACAATAAGCTTTATTTGAATCAAATACCTGTGTGAGCTTTTCTTTTTTGTAGAGGGTATCTTCTTCTGATTGAAGGTGGTGTCGTCATTGTAGAAGGAGCTGGATAGTGAATCTCTAATGGGAGAAGAGGAGGAGGTTATCATGATCTTTCGAAGTTGGCTTTGAGATTCGGTTGCTTTTGCTGTAGGTTTGGGCTTTCGTTTGGAATGACGAATTGGGGGAGAGGGACTTCGAGTTCGAGATCTTCTACCTCTTTTTTCGTACAGATATAAACCTTCGATTGCCATCGTCCGTCAATAATTTTCGACTTCCTAGACGCTTTCGAGGTGTTTTGGGTAATGATTGCATCAGTGGCCATTGAAATAATTTTATATATAGAAAATAGCTTCAAAAATACTTCAAAAAAAGGTTCTTTCTTTGAAAAAGAAAAGAAAGAAGAAAGATAAAATCAAAATGTGTTCTTTTCCATTCTAAGCACTTTTTCAAGATCATTTACTCTATTAAAGCTTTTACATAGTTCTCAATTTTAAATATGGGGTTTTAATATCGAATGAAGTTTAAATGAATATTCTAGAAAAACCACGGATTATTTGGCGGATTTGACATCCAAACTATAAAACCACAGATTAATAATCCGCTCTTTTTGAAGCGGATGATGCCACCGCGGAAATCCCGCGATGGCACAAAAGTGCAGATTATTTCAGCGGATTCAGCACGGATTTTACATCCAAACTAGCCCTTAGTGGAGGGGCGAGAGTGTGTATCGGTCGTGAGTTTTTTTTCTTTTTCGTTTTTATGTTTTGGGTTATATTATAGGGATGATGCGGATTTTCTGGATTGATTGGTTTGTGGTTTATTGAGTTCATTTGTACACGCATACATAAGAATATCACGAAATAGAGCACAACGTAATAGCACGCGTAAGAAAGAACAGAACGGGACAGGATATCCGACTAACACCCCCCTCTCTACAGAACAATACGCACTCAACGAAGCCAGTTTTGTGATCGCGCGGTTTCTCAAAAATACGAAAGAATCGAAGCGGTTGATATGAGTGGAGAAGATGGGTTGTTGGGAGAAGAAAACTGAGTTTTGACTATGTCGCCTTATGAGGTGAAGGTAAGATTGTTTGCTGCTGGGGAGTAGGGCTTCCTTGGACTCTGGGGGTTGGAAGGAAGGGGAAGAGATGAGTTTGGGGGGGGGGGATGGTTAAGTGTGATGAATATGGTAATGTGGGAATCGAAAATGAAACATTGTAGACGGGCTGATATAGAAGAGAATGAAAGAAATGGAGACGTGTCAATGCAAAGAAGGAAATGAAATAATAAATTCATTCATAAATGCCCGACGTGTTATTTACGCTGATTAAAAGAATAAGAGTGTGTAAGCTTGGCCAGCCATTTATATGGCACTAGTCGCGCAACCCAATCTAGTCCATATACAGAGAGAGAGAGAGAGAGAGAGAACCCCAAAGCTGCTATGCATCTGCTACCTGACCAAAACGCCACGCTATACCATCTCCAATCCTAAAACCCATTCATAACCTCGTATTCATAATGTCATATGTTCTAAGACCCGCCCCAATCCCGATGCTGAAATGTATAAAATGCAAAAACTCCTTCCCATGTAATATGTTTCTTGTTTGCTATTGAAGCTTGTCTTGTATCGAGTCTGCTCAATCTTTTTTACTAGCAGGTGATCTTTTTTTCTTCGTTTTCGATTCCACCTCGCCTATCTCGAGTGGTTTCTGCATCACGTATTCCTTCTTCTCTCCATCTCCATATTTGTGCGTCGTGCTCCAATCCGCATTAATGGTAGCCGGTATTCCTTGACTTGGGTTTCGAATTTGATCTGCGTGCAGCTTATCTAGACTCTCCCCCATAACTCCATATTTTGCCCAATTAACCGGTGGACACCGTACTATGTTCTGGGGTGTTGGTAGGGTCTCCCACTTTGGATTCTGGGCCTGCGCTCCATTGATCTGCTGGGCTTCCTCAGACTCCTCATCTTCATCTTCATCCTCATCACTACTACTTTCCGTATCCACGACCATTCTTCCCCTCTTCCTCGCAATTTCTTCTCTCTCCCTCTGTTCCCCTTCCTGCAAACTTCCTATAAATCCCTCCGGATCCTCCATCGCCCTTTCTTTAATCCTCTGCAACGTAACCATATCCCTCTTTGCATTTCTCATCTGCAACTGTAATATCGAAATCGCACTTTTCACAGCCAGAGCATCTGGATTCTGACTCAAATCGATCGTTTGTGGCGACGGTTTTGGTTGCGGCATCGATACTTGTGGCGCTTGTTGTATATGGGTATATGTTTCTCTGAGCGCATGGGCTTGCGCTTGCATGGCTGGATGGGTTGGCACTGGCTGAAGACTACTATTCTGAGCTGCGATCGTATTATTCATGATTGCGATATTCTTTCCTCCGACATGACTTCGTTGCGCGTAACCCGATGATTGCGATTCCAATCCCGCCGTTCCATTTCTCGCGGCGACTCCCAGATTCACATTCGCATTTACATTGGAGGTTGAGGCTAGCCTCGCGGCCGATAATGTAGGAGTGATGGGAGAAACGGGAGGTCGTTCGGGGCTGGCGGATCTCGAAGTGGATGATTTGTGAGTATGTGAAGGAGGAGAAGTTCCTTGAACGGGAGTCGGAGTCGAAGTATAATGTGCGGGAGTTGGCGCTGCAGAGGGAGGAGAATTTGAAGTTGACGCTGTAGGATGAGGCATTTTAATCTTGAGGATGGGCATTGCGAATTGCTTGCGCCCGCGCGCGTTGGAGATATGAGGCTGCGGAGTCGGATTACTTTTGTCCGTGATTTTGGGTTTGTTCCTTTCTAAAAACGGGAGGTCGGGATGTTTGAATGGAATGGAACTTTGAAGTTGTGTGGGGGCTCGAGGGGGGCAATGATTGGTGGGGTATCTGAATATGATTGGTTGTAATTATGATTTGCTTGGCTGAGATATTTAGTCTGAAATGTTTTGATTTATAATTGATCGATTTGGGTTGGGTTGAGTTGTTTTTGATGAAAGAGGTTGGAAGTAGTAAAAGTACTCGGTACGTGTTTGAACTTTGCGCAAACGATAGTTCAGACGGGAAGTAGGTGGGTTGGAGGAAACAAATGTATGTAAGGAACTTGTAAGACTTTACGACATTTTATTGGGTCTTTTTATGAGTCAGGGGAAATGGGGTAAATATGGAAACAAGAGATTATGAAATTATCTAAAGATTAACTCTTTTATTAGGTAGTCGAGGTAGTATTCGCGGTATTTACGGTATTTATGGTATATTTTTCTTCGCTTACAAGTACAAGAGTGGTTCGGTGGAGATTCATGTGTTTATGTCACTTCGTGGCTCTTGCTTAAGCTTGAGCTGTCTTCGAAAGTGGCCAAGCAACCAAGTAGCTAGGTATCCAACTAGTATTTATTGCTGTTCTATCTAATGGGTAGCTCTTGTTATGCATTTCTTTCTGAATCCTAGAATTCTTGAAGTGTATCACCGTCTAATAGCAAGCCCGAATAAAGAAAAGAAGCATGTGTACTACTGCTTACTGACTACTCAATTACCGCTGTTGCATTGAGCCTTCTTTTAAAACCAATAATGTTCCAAAAGTCATGTCGTCATAGCGGAAACTTGAAGATAACTGAAAATGTTTCCACAACTCTAACATTTCCCTTATTCTCTTCATCTCCCAATTTTCCCATTCTTACACAATGGATATTAGCCCTGTTGGAATTGCCAAGGCTGTTATCCCTAATTTCCCTCTAGTAATAAAGACAGCCGTTTTAGCATTGCTTTCTCGGTCCCCAAATGCTTCGGTCCAGGATGTCATCACTGAAGTCATAGTAGTGACTGCAAGACCTATGCTTAGCACTCCGGCGGCTATCTTGAAATCTCAAATACAATCTCAAATAGACTGGGGAGTATGGGGACCAATGTGGATTGCGAAGTATACCATACCAAGACCTCAAGATGATTGCCATGACAACGAAAGAGTCTATGGTGTTAGAAATGCTTTAGTGAAAGCAATAAAGGAGCTTGGGGCCGGAGATAATGCTTTCGATCTACCAGAAATTGTCGATGTGCAAGCTGAGTGGACAGGCCATCGTAGTGGAGTCTCAACTCTTGCTCGTCGACTAAACATATCTGAGTGTAAACAGTATGAGATGATGATGAAAGAAGTGGCTCCGAACAGTCCCACGATTCTTTATTTTCATGGCGGAGCTTTCTGGTAAGGAGATCATGATGTTGGATTTCTCAAACTGAACTCAACGTCTAGTCTCATGGATCCTGTTACTCACCGACCGGCAACATCTGCGTTGGCTCAACAAACTGGTGGCCGTTGCTTTTCAGTTCGATATCGACTGGCACCCCAAGATCCATTTCCATCGGCACTTTTAGATGCGTTCATCGCTTATCTATCATTGATATCGCCTCCGCCTGGCTCTTTCCATGAACCTGTTCCTCCCAAAAATATTATTTTCTCGGGTGACTCATCAGGGGCAGGATTAGCGACATCGCTTTTGCTACTATTGACAACTTTGAATCGTATGAGGATTGACCATATTCATTTTAATGGAGTGAATGTGCCAATCGATGCGACCGAAGTTGCTGGCCTTGCCATTACTTCGCCTTGGCTTGATATTTCCCGATCCCTCCCTTCCGTACTGAGGAACATTCAGTACGATATAATAGCACCACCTTCATCAGATTACACAATGCCTCATCCCAGATTTCCTCACGATTCGGTCTGGCCAGCCCGATCACCTCGTGTTGAGACCTATTGCGAGTCACCAATGGTCACTCATCCTCTCGTCAGCCCTCTTGCGGCTAAGAGAGAGCACTGGCGTGGTGTGGCACCAGTCTACGTAAGTGTAGGTTGGGAGAGTATGCAAGATGAAGCAGAGGTTTTCACGCGTAGATTGCACGAGGCCGGAGGGACAGTCATATTCGATGGGTATGTGGGTATGCCGCATTGCTTTGCTCTCATGCCGTGGAATCAAGCTGGAAGAACTGCTTTTGAGAATTGCGCGAATTTTTGTGTAGAGGCGGTTCAAGGTAAAATTAAGAGCACTAATTTTGGTTCATGGACAGATAAAGATGGAAACGTCGAGACGGTTGAGCTGGGAAAACTAGGAATGAGGAACAATGAACGGAAAGTGGACCTTGACGACGTCCTCGTAAATAAACTTCTAGAAAAACAAAGAAGGTGGAGGGTCGACCTGGAAAAGAAATTAAGGAACTGCGAAAAAGGCGAAACAATAAAGATAAATTCAATCAGGAATGGCAAGTAACGTTATAGATAAGCAGTGTTTAATCGAGTTTGAAGTATAACATGTTTTTCATAGCCTCCGATAAGCCTAAAGTCTTCAACGGCTACTCGTCCTGGCAATGAGTTAAGAATTTAAACCGTGCTAGAAAGAGAGATGAGATAGGATGTTGTGTATTGAACAATCCGTCTAGTCTGACTGTTCATTTTAGCAGACTTTGCCTTTGTCACACAAAATCTGTGAAGGGTCTTCGAACAGAATTGTGGGATGTGTGTGTGTGGAATCTCGGCAAGACACAGATCTCGTGTGATATGAGTAACGATGGAGTCACAGGCCTCAAACACTGTGTCACTCTATTTGATGAGTCGAATAGCTTCAATAAGGGCAAGCAACAATGCTGGCTTCTATGACGTTCTCGAGGCGCATCATTTGATACTTATCGTTCACACTTACACTTCATCGCTTTGTGCGCCTCGTGATATATATTACAAGGCGGGTGTGTCTTGGGTAGGAGATAACAATCTGACATCCACAATAACCTCAGACCTTGACGGCGCCCCACTTCTAGAACGCATTTCGAAGATATAATCAAACTTAAAAAGAGATCGAATTCTTATGGAGAATGGGGAAAATGCACGGCAAAATGCTGTATTATGGTGTGGAACTGATGCAATGCACGTAATAGATGAAATGCATATAATTGGAGAAGATGGTGGATGGGACCTGAAAAAAAAGACACGAGCCAAAACCCCCACTGACGCTAAATCATTTATAGTATAGCGTGCTATGGCACAAGTTAATCCGTTCCGAAAGCTTCGAGGTATGTAACGACTGAAGGAAAATGTCTAGAACTTTTCTTACCATGACCTTATGAACCATCTTATGAGCCAACCATCTATATAAATGAATGAAGATTTGTCAATATCCTCGATTGATCTACAGAATACTGGTGGGCCCTCGAAGGGCAGGCGAGTCTTGAGTACGGCTTTGTAAGGTTGTCGATATGTTCATGTGTTTGTTGTGAGAGATGTTTACTAATGTTCGAGTCCCTTCAGAATACCTACGAACCATTCATTACCACCATAGTCAAGCTTTACTATCTGCGAATATCATGAGGTTATGTGAATATTAGAAGAATTTATGTTATTTTGTCATTCATTAAAACCCTTTCATCTGATCTTTATCCTTCATTTCATCTCTAAGCTGGAGAAAGCATCGGAACCTGGTTATTGCCTCTTCTTTTCACCACTTGGACACCTTATACCATAAAAGAGACGAACTTGATTGCATGGCAGAGAAAGATATTCAATATTGAAGATTTGAAAGAAATAATTGGTGTGGTTTACGCAAGTTTACATTAGATGATATACCCCTCTTAAAGTACCGTTGCCTGGCAAACATTCTCGGCATACTTCACCTATACTACCATCATTGGACAATTGATTCTTCTTCATCTTCCTCTCCTCAAAGTCTGTCCAAAACAACTTTGCTACTGAATCGACCGTTCTCTCCGCACTCTTTTCAAAATGGAGGAATATGCAACCCAGCCCTGTAAAGATCCCTTCTTCATTCCTTCTACTTATCCTCCTCCTCCCAAGACTCCAGCGTTTGTTTTTAGCTCAATTACTGATGATCCTGATTATGAAGCTACTCAGCCTACCGACGAAGCAATTCGCCTTGCTAACAGAAATTCTGGTTTGACCGACGAAGATGCTTCAGATATTGTTTGCATTCTCCATCCTGATTCCGATCTGGCGCGCGAAGCTTGTGCCGAAATCAACAAACTGCACCCCAAGAATACAATCAGCCTTGAGGGTGGTAATTCTTACTTGACAGCAGAAGGTCAGGTTCCCTGCGACCTGGCACTTCGACTATCAGCCAATCTGAAAGATGAAAATTTGGGCTGGATTTTTGGTCGAAGTGAGGAACGATGCGACTTTATGATAAGAGATGGCACACCTCCTCAGATAAGCAATCAACACTTCCGCATTTATCTCAATGAACATGGCTTCCTCATGTTAGAAGATATGTCTACTAATGGTATCTCTGTTGATGGTACTATACTCCGACTCAAGAAGAAAAACAATGGGAAACCTTATCGACAAACTATCGAAAACGGGACTATTATATCCCTTGCTTTAAACAAGCCTGTTGCCCTCAGTATCAATTTTGTTGTTCGGATACCCAGACGTAGTGATGAAGCTCAAGAGGCGTTTGAAACAAACTTCGCCATTCACGTTCGTCGAATTCAAGAAAGGCAAATTCGGCGTCGTGTGGCGGGTGGTGTGGATAGACAGCCAGTAAGTGATTGTCTTGCCCTTAAAGGAAAGCACAATACTAAAAGATTGCAGCTTAATCTCTTCCCCAATGCTGCCAATCGTGGTAGTGCGGAGTCTTCATCAATTTTCAGAAAGCGAGAATGGAGAGGTGGTTCAAAGTACAACAAGCTCGACATGATTGGCAAAGGCGCTTTTGCTGTTGTTTATAGGGTGACTGATAAACGAACTGGAGTTCCATTCGCTGCCAAGGAGCTTGACAAGAAGAAGTTTTTGAAGAATGGAGCCAAAAATATTGATTCAGAGATCAAGATCATGAGCAAGATTCATCATGTAAGTTCATTCTTGTCCCTTTGTTTTTTCACGCACACGCTCACATGCTTCAGGATAATGTGGTTTCGTTTGTCGAATGTATCGACTGGGATGATTATCTATACATTATCATGGAGTTTGTTCCCGAAGGGGACCTTACATCCCTCGTTACAATGTGCCATTTCCTTCCGGAACATGCAGTCAAGAGTATGACTATTCAACTATTAAGCGCATTGAAATATCTTCATTCGATAAATGTCACCCACCGCGATATCAAGCCTGACAATATTCTCTGCCAAAGTCGAAATCCACTGCACGTTAAACTGACTGATTTTGGTTTGTCGAAAATGATTGATACGGAAGACACATTTTTGCACACTTTCTGTGGCACATTGCTATATTGTGCGCCAGAAGTTTATAACGAATACCCCCAATATGATCGTACAGGTCGAAGAACCAACCGACGCAGTGACGATTCAACAACACAACAGAGATATGATCACGCTGTCGACGTTTGGTCGCTAGCTGGTGTGCTTTTCTATTCATTTTGTGGGACTCCGCCATTTCCCGTTGGAGCTGCCTCGCATCATACGCAAATACTTCAAAGAATAATGACAGTGCCTTTGGATGTTAGGCCCTTGCAACGTTGTGGAGTATCACCTAATGCAATTAGATTTGTCATAAAAATGCTTCACACCGATCCAGAGCATCGTGCCACTATCGAGGATCTAGAGCAAAGTCCTTGGTTGACAGGAAACGACCCAGATCTTGATGAAACAGAGGATGAAGACGTTGGACAACTCGAGGTACCCGCTTCTCAGTTGAGTTTGCTGGATGATCCCGAAAACAATGGTGAAAATGATGAGTTCGGTGAGGAGACGATTCAATTCCAACCTCGTGAGATGCCGGGCAGCTTCAGTACCAATGAGTCGGATGATGAGAGATCTTTGGAGCTCGCAAGCTCAATTCCGAGTGACTTTGGCACGGGAACAAAATTCACAACCGCCGAACAAATCGAAGGAGATGAAAGCTATGAGTTCATCCGGAATCCTGCAAACGCTGGTCGCTTGTTTGGCGAAGTTAATGTAAATTCTTCTGCCTTGGGAAGTTCTGGGGCTGTTCCAGTGGATCTCCCAACTCCGATTCAGCACATCGGAAATAATAAACATCAGCAGGTTTCGAAACATGACGACACACTTCCAGTCGCAAAATTCAGGAGTCGTCTTGAAGCTGCGAGCGCCATGCCAAAGACACCGCTCCCACCTCCACCTCCACCTCACCCTCGCTTTGTGACTCCAGCTGCGAGGCACTTCGAAAATGGAGTTGTTCAAAATCACTCAAGCCTTCTGGGTGCTGTATCCCAACTAGGTCATCTGCAGATGAATTCTCCCTTGATTTCACCAACCGAAATTATAACTCCCTATTTGTCAACTCTGTCGCATGCTCAGGCTGCCAACATTAGTCTTCGAAGACCTCGAGAAGTTGGCGGCTGGCAACCTGAGGAGTTTCCACCGCAAAAACGCCGAAAGTCTGCGCGAACAATTGATGTCATGGTACCCCCAGAAACATTTTGGAATCCTAGAGATAAGTCGACTCATCATGAACATTATCCACCGATGTCAGCAGCGGATTGGAATCGATATGTTGAGCTTGCCAAATCCAAAGGAGAGAAATTTCAGCATGGCTGTACAATATTTGAGAATGTAATGGTTAGCTTCAGAAGCAATAGCAAAACTCCTTCGATTGGCTCGAATGTATCGTTTCGCGCTCAATCCGAACCTTTAATTGAAGGAACAAAACGATATTTACCATTGGCGCGCGATGAACGAAGGCTCAGCGACGACGCTTCTGTTCAACAGAGCATAGCTTCCAAGGAAAATTTGTCCGTCAACACCGATGCCCTTGCGCCTGAAGTAGCTCAGAACTCAGAACCTTCTTCACCAGTCAAGATAGGCGCGACAAATGATGAAGAAATCATTTCTTCAATTGAAGCCGCGACGGAAGGTACATCAGCTATAATTCCAAACATCGATGCATCTGCAGCAGACGATTTTCAGGTCCCTAAGCGCGTGCTTGCAAAGTTTTCTGCAACTCCAGATTCTTGTTTACCAACCATTGCTTTTAATATTACGGAAGCATTCACATCTTGGGGCCGCGGCTTTTCCAACACTATCCGATATGCAACTCGTGAAGATGTCCGAATAGGTGTTCCTAGATACGCATTCAAGCTGATACTATTCAAAAATGACTTCTATCACTCCGGTGAAAAGTATACGGAAGTCTGGAATAAGAGCCATAGTGAAGAAGAAGAACAAGGCTTCAGATTCTTGATCTCTACCAAGTCCTCGGCAGGTCTCAAGATCAATGGGCAAAAACTTCCAAGTCATAATATCAGTGAGACCTTGGGCGACTCGAAGTTTTGGGGAGAAATTCGTA